GGGATAAATTGATTACAGCAAAAGTTGTACCCTCTGAACCTGGCTGCAGCCAAATAAAACTCTTTCCTGCTATCTTCAGTGCCTTGCCTCATTTGTCCCTACAACACAGGAGCGCCTAAGCAAAAGCTAAAGGAAGCAGAAAAAGCTGCTCATGAGAGAGAGGTATGAAGGTTATTGAAAACTGGGCCCTAAAAGATGAAGAAAAGATGGAACTCCAGAAAATCCAACTCAAAGAAGCTAAGCACAATGCTGAAGAAGCAGATAGAAAGTATGAAGAGGTGGCTCGTAAGTTAGTGATTATTGAAGGAGACTTGGAATGCACAGAGGAACAAGCTGAGCGCTGAGCTGGCAGAGTCCCGTTGCTGAGATGGGTGAGCAGATCAGACAGATGGACCAGAACCTAAAGTGTCTGAATGCTGCTGAAGAAAAGTACTCTCAAAAAGAAGACAAATATGAAGAAGAAATAAAGATTCTCACTGATAAACTCAAGGAGGCAGAGACCCGGCACTGAGTTTGCAGAGACATAGGAGGCAAACTGGAAAAGATAATTGATGATTTGGAAGATAAGCTGAAATGCACCAAAGAGGAGCACGTCTATACACAAAGGATGCTGGACCAGACTCTGTTTGACCTGAATGAGATGTAGAGCTCCCCAGTCCCGCCCTGCTGCTGCTCCTCCCTCTGAYCCTGACTCCACCTGAGGCCAGACAGCCCAAAGCTGACCTTGAAACTGAGGGCTGATCTTTAAGTGGAAGGCTGCTTTTTCCTTTCAACACCCCCTCTACCCCAACCCCTTTGTCTTTTTCACCAAACTGTCTCTGCTTCTTCCCAGAGATTCAAGCTGAGCACCTTTGGGAACAGCATTTAAGGGAATGTGAGCACAACGCAAAGTATCTTTAAAAGCATGTTGTGCTTTTAATTACTTTTTACTTTTGTAATTACTTTTTTGTTGTTGTTACATTAACCATTTGTAAAACATTCCAAATAATTTCATAGCTCTGAAGTAGCAATCTAATTCCCTTCTCACTTTTGGAAGGTAACTTTCCAGCCTAATCCCCATTGCCCTCTCCATAGAGGAGGAAAAGAGGAATGGGCCTGTCTTACTGAGAGCCAAACAGAGCCTAGGGAAAGACTTTATTATGGCAAACCTCATTGCTCTGTGCAAAGTACCAGCCAAACCAGAAAGGTAATTCCAAGAGGAGTTAGCCAAAAAACAAAAACCTTGCTATTCAGGTTTTGTTTTGGTTTTAGCTTTAAGGTATCTTTAGACAACTGTATTCTTATTTCTTACTTTTTTTCATCAGAAATGACCAAATTAACATGGTGAGACCTCTGAGACTTTTTGTTTTTCTGGTGCTGGGGACTGAACCCAGGGCCTCGTGCATGTTCAGCAAACGCTCTACCACTGAGCCATATTCTTAGCCCTGAGACCAAATTTTTCTCCCATCTCTACCCACTTCCCAAGTGTTCACAGAATGGATCATAGGCCCCTTAATCTTGTGGTGACCACTTATTTGCTCTCCTGCCTGCTTGAAAAAGAAAGAAAGAAAGAAAGGAAGGAAGGAAGGAAGGAAGGAAGGAAGGAAGGAAGGAAGGAAGGAAGGAAGAAAATAAATAAATAAATTATGTTTTGGCCACTGATTTAACCATATGAACTCATAGCTAAATGACTTTTCTGGGTCTGAAGCTGCTGTATCTAAAAGTGCCATCTCATTGTGCTTTGTATCAGTCAGTGCTGGAGAATCTTGAATAGCTTATGTACACAACTTTTTAAATTTTATATTATTTTGAAACTGCATCTTTGGGGTTGGGGTACCTGGCCACCCCATCTGGCTGTAAGAGTCCTGCAGTCTGGGCTGGCCGTGTGCTGATCTTTCAAAGTTTCTTTCCCAGCCCAATCCCCACTTTTTTAGGTGAGTTTCGTGAGGTCTGTTAGGTGTACATCCTGCAGCTTATTGGCTTAAAATGTATTCTCCTTTGTTGTGGTCTCTTTGGGGCCAGTTGGAAGAAAGAAAAACAATAATGCAACTGTTTTGATACTGAATACTGACAAGTGTCTTTTTGAAATAAAGAACCAGTCCCTCCAAACTTCAAAAAAAAAAAAAGAATAATGAGAAACAGGAAATGAGTTAATGGATCAAGGTAATTCTTTGAAGCATACTTATGTCAAAGAGAACAGAAAAACAGGACAGTAAGTGAAGAATCTAATGGGGTTAAAAAGGTTTTGAATTTTTGTTCATTTCTTAAATCTAGAAAATGTTTGTTTGCAGACTAAAAATAAAAGAGGAAAATTGATGATCAAGAAAGGAGTTAATTGTAGGAACCTTCCTGTATTGATATAGCACAAAATGAACTCACCTTCCTTCTACTTCATTCTTCCTATTTTATCCATAACTCATATAACATCTCAAACAATTTTGTTTAGTGTTAAGAATTTGCTTTTGGGGCCAGGCCTGGTGGCCTACACCTATCCAAGTTAAAAGCCAGCCTCAGCAAAAGCAAGGCGCTAAGCAACTCAGTGAGACCCCATCTCTGAATAAAATATAAAGCAGGGCTGGGGATGTGGCTCAGTGGTCGAGTGCCTCTGAATTCAATCCTCAGTATCAAAAAAAAAAAAAAAAGAATTTGCTTTTGGGGAAGAATAAAAGGCCCTGAATAGTCAAAGCAATTCTAAACAAAGGAAGTAATTATACTACAGAACTGTAGTAACTAATACTGCATTGGTTCTGGCATAAAAACATGTATGCAATAGAGCTCTGAAAGCTTTTCAAAGATAACAGATTTCAAAGAAATTTCCCACTTGGAATAGAAGACAGAGATAGACCTACAGAGTATTCTGATCCTYGACAAAGACTCCAAAAACATACATTGGAAAAAAGACAAACTTTTTAATAAATGACACTGAAAAAACTGGAAATCCATATGCAGAAGAATGAAATTATACCCCTCTCTCTCATCTCATACAAGTCAACTCAAAATGGGTCAAAGCCCTAGGAATAGACCAGAAACTTTGCAACTGCTAGAAGAAAACATACAATCAACACTTCAACACACAGGTGCAGGCAACAGCTTCCTCAATAGGACCTAGAGAGCTCAGAAAATAATACCAAGACTTAATAAATGGCATGGCATCAAATATAAAAGCTTCTGCTCAGCAAAGGAAACAATAGCATGGAGAGAGCCTATAGAATGTGAGATAATATTTACCAGCTACTCTTTTGACAGGATTAATACTCAGAGTATATTAAACTCAAGTCTTAACACCAGAAAAACTCAATAAATGAGCAAATGAACTAAACTGATACTTTTTAAAAATATTTTTTAGTTGTTGATAGACCTTTATTTTATTTATTTATATGTGTTGCTGAGAATTTAATCCAGTGCCTCAAACATGCCAGGAAAGTATGCTATCACTGAGCCACAGCCCAAGCCTGATTTTTTTTTTTTTTTAAATTGGGATTGAACTCAAGGGTACTGCCACTGAGCTAAACTCCCAGTCGTTTTTATTTTTCGAGACAGGGTCTCACTAAATTGCCAAGGATGGCCTTGAATTTGCAATCCTTCTGCCTCAGCCTCCCAAATTTCTGGGATTACAATGTCTAGCTCTAAACAGATATTTTTGAAAAGAAGAAATGCAAATGGCCAATATGAAACATCATTTAACATCAGGTAAATACAAAACATCTCTAACAATCAGGGAAATACAAATCAAAACTACACTGAGATTTCATCTCACTCCTATTTGAATGGCAGTTAGCAAAAATAAAAAATAATAATAAATATTGTGGAGAATGTAGGGGAAAAGGACACTTGTATATACTATTGGTGGGTAAATAATACAATCACTATGAAAATCAATATAGAAATTCCTCAAAAGACTAGAAATGGAACTACCTTATGACTCAGCTATACCATTCTTTGGCATTATTCCAAAATAATTAAAAAACATAGTATAGCAATACAAGCATACCCATGTTTACAGCATCACTATTCACAAAAGCCAAGTTATGGAACCAGCCTAGGTATCTGTCAGCACATAAATGGATAAAGAAAATCTGGTATATAAATACAATGGAGTTTTATTCATAAATTAAGAAGAACAAAATTATGTCACAAGAAAATGAATGTAACTTGAGAGCATTATATTACATGAAATAAACCAAACTCAGAAAATCAGGATTATGTGTTTTTCTCTCACATGGGGAAGGTAGAGAGAAAAAAGGAAAAAAAGCAGGGAGAATCTCATGAAAATAGGAGGGAGACCAGTAGAGCAGAAAAGGAGGATGAGAGGAGGGAGCAGAGGAGGTAAAAGGGAATTGACCAAAATTATGTTATGTGAACGTACAAATATGTAACAACGAATCCCACTATTCTATATAATGCACCAATAAAAAAAAATTCTTTAAATAAAAGAATTTGCTTTTTAAATAACTCTGTTACTCATTAGTCGTGGCAAATTACTTAATTTCTCTGTACCTCAGTTTAATCATCTGTAAAATAGGAATAATAAAAACCTATTATAAATACAGAAAATGCATAAGGCATTTGGCATGCAGTACGCACTTATCCACTGGAAGCACTATCATGCTTACCTTTTCATTTGTCTTTTCTCAACTATAACAAAGGTAGTTAAAGACAAAGTCTTTTGTATTCACTGCCATCGGAATTTATAGTCTTAACAATTATTTCACTTCCCTAAATTTTAAAGATCATTTTTTAAAAATGTGAATTACTGCTGAGCATGGTGGTGCATGCCTGTAATCCTAGCATCTCGGGAAGCTAAAGCAGGAGGATCTCTAGTTCAAAGCCAGCCTCAGCAAAAAGTAAGGCACTAAGCCACTCAGAGACCCTGTGTCTAAATAAAATACAAAATGGGGCTATGGATGTGGCTCAGTGGTTGAGCGCCCCAGAGTTCAACCCCCAATACCCAAAATAGATAGATAGATAGATAGATAGATAGATAGATAGATAGATAGATAGATAGATAAAATGTGAATTACCTCCATAATTAATGCTAGACTCTGGTGTGTTGGAGATATCTAGGAGTGACCCTATAGAAAGGGAATGTTCAGCTGACGGACGCTTTCGGGGAGGAAAAGGTGACATGTCTGTCTCTCTTGAAAGCTGAGCAAGTGTCTCTTTTAAACGACGTCTTTTGCGATTACTGTTTGGGGTACTTAGAGAAAGCAGTGACACTGATTTCTTGAGTTCAGGAGTATTGGCCTGAAATCAAAAGCACAAAAGTTCCATTTCACGTCCATGGTTCTTTTACTGAGACAGGAACAAGAAAAGAATGAATTTATGAGTGACAAAATCTGGATTTTACACAATTTTGTAATCCTACACTCTACTAGACAATTTAGAAGCTACATAAAACATAATGGTCAAGAGAGCATAGTAATTGTCTAACTTTGGAACCTCATTTTTTTCTTCATAGCACTATAACCATTATACACTCATCTGTTAGCCTGTTTACCATCTACTCCTCTATTAGGCCATAAATTCCACAGGGGCAGAGACCATTCATATTCTGTCCATTGTATCCCAAACATTAAGCACTGTGCCTAGACATAGTACTTTTCAATATTTGCTGAATAACACTTGATTTTAAGAGCTCTCTACTTAAATCTAAAGCATACTTTTTAAACTTTATGTTATAAACTTAACAGTGAGAACAAGAGAGTCTAAAGAGCAAAATATGGTATCAATTTAGATTTTATAGAGAAATAATAATCCATATCTCATCTTCAATATTTTGCTCAAAATTATTAAATTCTAAACTGAAGAAAATCTTCTCTTGAAGTCTGTTATTGTTTTGGTGAATGATATTAATGTTCATCAAGATCCATACAAAGGGTGGGTTTTCCTTGTCTACATACTACTATTAAAGTCATCTTTTTAACTGACATTGCTTCCCTTAATAATCTTTAGTGACTCCTAGCCCTTATGAATAAAATCAACTCCTTAACATATTGAAAACTTCTTGACTCTGGCTATTAAGTTTTATCTGTTGGCCTTCTTTCCTATATTCTTTTTTTAAACTACTTGCTATTTTAATATACTCTCAAGATTTCAGACTCTACCTCCCACATGCACTTGAATGTCCTTATCTGTTAGCCTCTACATATATTTGCCCTTTTCAATCCTGAGTCTCAGAGTAAGGCTCCCTAGAATACATTATGCAATTATAACACACATCATTCTAGGCTGTCATTGTCTACAAATATCTTTTCATTAAGGTTCTAAGTTTCTAAACACAGGAATGTTACTATTCATAATGGTAACACAGAATGACATATATTCGATTAAAATAATACCCGTTACATTGAATACTTTCACTTAAATCTATATAGGCTAAGAATACTGCAATTGTTTATTTTGAAATTCATACACATCATAAGATATGATATACGTGCTAATTATATCATGCTCTCTAAACCTTCTGCATAGAAAAGTATTATTTTTATACAATCAAGTCCACAGAACAAGTACCAAAAGGAAAAAAAAAAAACATACCTTTTCATACAAATACATAGTTTCTCCAGCACGAGCATCCATTTGAATGCTTCCCCAGAACCACTAAATGACAGAAAAAATATTTTAATTTATAAACCTTAACAAAGAAGCTATTACTGTTGTTTAAAAAAAGAAAGAAAGAAAGAAAGAAAGAAAAAATTCATTCCAGAATTACTTGCCTCTTGCTTGACAACGTAAAGTTTCTTTGAAGGTTCAAATGGAAGTTCTTTTACTGTATTCTCTTCAACTATTAGGTGAGTGCATCTTTCATCTCCAACTGCTAAATAGCTACCTCCTAAAAAGGAATGCATACAAGCATAAATAAGCCAAACTACTTATCTGCAACCCTAAATCTTTAAAAGAAAGTGATTAAATCTTTAAAAGGAAGTAATTAAGCAGGCCTAGAGAATAAAATACACATCATTTTTAAATTATGCTAATTTTACCTTGCATTTCTGTCATTTCTTCCATATTGGTTTTCTCTTCATCTGAGAATCCCAGGAAACTCAAAATGCAATCTTGAAATGGAGGAACTTTAAATTCATTTCTAAAGTCATCAACTGATGCACAGAAATCTCTAAAAACAAAATATACTCTTTTAAAATCAGTTTAACTTCAGTTCCATTTGTTAGACAAATCAATCTACAAATCCACAGTAATTCCCAAGATCTTAGCATAATGTATTTACTGAAAATATTTTATATCTTAGCCAGGCTTGATGGTGCATGCCTGTAATCCCAGAGACTCAGGAAGTTGAAGCAGGAAGATCACAAGTTCGAGGCCAGCATCAGCAAGCTGGAGGACAGCCTGTATAACATAGTAAACGGTGTATCAAAAGGAAAATAGAGGGCTAGGGATATAGCTCAGTTGATAGAGTGCTTGCCTTGCATGTACAAGGCCCTGGGTTCAATCCTCAGCACCAAAAAAAAAAAAAAAGAGAGAGAGAGAGAGAAAGTGATAAAGCACCCCTAGGTACAATCCCAATACTATTAAAACAAACAAACAAAATTATAATATCTAAACATTTTATAACTTATCTTGAAATGTTCACAAAACTTCAGTTTAAAAAATTGGGGGGCCTGGGGTTATGGCTCAGCAGTAGAGCACTCGCCTAAGGGTTCAATCCTTAACACCACATAAAAATAAATAAAAAATAAAATATACATATAAAAAAAGAATATACTTTTTAAAAAATAATAATAAATAAATAAATAAATTTAAAAGTGGGTGCTAAGGATGCAGCTCAGTGGTAGTGTGTGTGCTTAGCATGCAAGAGACCCTGGTTCAATCTASAGCACCGGGAAGGGCAGGCAGATCGTGTGTCCTGGAGTCACTCTGGAAGTAAATTCTGACAAAATGTCACCATATGTAGCTTTCACAAGAACAATCAAATCCTTACTGTGTAAATACCGTGTTTTTTGTGAGTTTCCCCCACCACCAGTACTAGGAACAGAACCCAGGTGCATTTTACCACTGAGCTACAACCCTAACCCTTTTTATTTTTGAGACAGTGTCATGCTAAATTGCAGAGGCTTAACACAAACTTGTGATATTCCTGCCTCAGCCTCCCAAATTGTTGAATTACAGGCATGCACCATCATACCTGACTGTATTTGAACTTTTGAGTTCTCTAATTTCATGAAATGTTAGTGATAAATTGCTACAGCAATGAAATTATAAGATTAGAAACCTTAGCACAACAAAGCAATGAATCATAAGCATCAATTAAAATGTAACCATACAAGCATAAAATATAACAATCAAAATACAGAGATGCATTGAGCTATTATCTAGTAATTTTAGAATGTTTATAATTAAAATTATTTCACAAAGTAAGACCCAAAGATACTACAGATATCTTTCAATTTGTAATTTTTTTATAACCTCAAATTTTTCTGCTATGCTACCAAAAGACTGAATTCATCTTTTCTATACTATCTATGAATTTAGAGGTTTTTTTTGGCACATAGATTTATCTTTAAAAACATATGGTGAATTCACAAAATGAACTACAGAATTTCTAAACACTTACTGCTCATTCCGCCTTTCCCATGCTTTGTAAATCCAATCTGGCTTCATAATTGGAGTACCCAAACTAACAGCAACCTAAAAATATTAACATTAATTACAATGAATTTTTGTCTAAATTACATTTAAAAAATTATATATATTTTAGCATAATTTTAGATTAGCATCATCTACTCTGTAGCAAACCATAAAGAAAAATGAACAAAAAAACTATCACTCAATCATACAACTTAAGTTAAAAACTTTAAAACAAGTTCCACAGTGTTCACACTCATTCCTTATTTGATTTACTTAGATACAGGGGACTGCATCCAGTGCACTCTGTCACTTGATGTAGGTCTCACTAAGTTGCTAAAGATGGCCTCCAACTTGTGATCCTCCTGCCTCAGCCTCCCAAGTTGCTGGAATTATAGGCCTGTGCCACTTTATGCAAAATAAATTTCTATTTATCTTCTCTGTTCTTTATGTTCACTACAATGGAAATACTGACCAAGAGAAGACTAAAGAAAAATCATAGAACCCTTTTATAAAAGAGCAGAGCTCTGTTCTTATAAAATAAAAATAAAGAGTAAATTATCTGCTCTCACAGTTCTTGACCCCTCATCATCAACGATCACAGGAACCTTTGCTGATACTATTCATCTGCCTACAACATTATCCATCTACCTAACTTTGCAATCCTACTCATTTTTCAAAACCTAACTCCAATTTCATTGCCTTCTTAAAAATATATGGAACCAAACATCTATGATTTATAACTTTTATTAAATATACTCACAGTAAAAACTGAATTTCTAATCCTCAATAAATTATGCAAGGAACAAATAGGGGGAAAGTGCTATTTTTAAACCCATCCCACAATAATTCTCTATTAAAATACACAAAAATACCAAGCATACATACCCTGAATTTTTCTCCTGCTGTACAATTTGCCACCAAATGTGTGACTTTTGAATTAAAGTCTTTTCGAATAACTCCACCCATATGATGAACCAATGTCACCAATCTGACCTCAAAAAAAAATTAAGTATACTATAATTAATTTGAACAAATTTTTAAACTATTTAAAATTCACCTAGCATTTACTACCTTCTACTTGATATGTCAAAAAAGGATTAAAAAATTAGTTTGCCTACTACACAGGCAAAATCATACAGACATAATATAGACCATGCAAAAATGAGAAGCTTTCAAATATATATTGTTATTTTTTCCTAAATCACCCAGATTATATCACACCAAGATTCTTCCCACAAAATTACAGAATTACTCATTAGCTCCAACATTCAAAATTTTGAGAAACAAAGAAAAAAAATTCTATGACTTCTGTAGGGCAGTAAGAATACTTACATAATGAAAAACTAAATGTATAAACAAAAACTTCATGTAAACATTGTAGCTGATATGATACTTAACAAGATAATTAAACAGATCAGGTCATTATGAAAATTTTTTGTTAGTTTACATGCCAGTCATTCTAGATAAAATATTCATTTCTTTGCAAGGCTATTTAAGAATTTGTATCATCACAAAATTTAAAGTCAAATTTAGTCACATATTTTCTCCGTCAATATTTTTAAAATCAAATCATGATACCAAAAAGAAGAAAAAAGCCAAGTTAATTTGGATGGGAAAAACATTTCTTTGAATAGAATTTGTTTTATAATACTTACTAGTTCCTCTTTCTTCCTGAATCCAGTAAAACATAACACTAGATTCATCATACTTGTGCAATACAGTGGGCGACAGGAAAATGGCAAAGGCTGAAGGATATAATAGTTTTAAATCTGTGAGCTTTCTTTTTAGTAGAAAGTAGAAGACATCTTTCTCAAGCTAGAGGTATTTCCCCTCCTGTCAATCAACTTTCTAGCCCAAAGATTTACTGGTATTTTTCATTTTGCCACAAAAAAAGGGTAAACATCCAGACTATAAGTTCCACAATAAAAAATTTTCCCATAATTCTCAAATCACATTTGATATATAGACATATATATGTATGCACGTATATATGTAATATCTGAATACACTTTACAATTAGCAAATTAAACAAAATATTTATAATTAAAATTGTTAACCAAAATGTACTCTGACATATATGAAATATATGTACGACTCATTCATACACTATTATAAGTGCTTCCAATACATGTTATAAAAACAGGTCAAAGGCACTGTATAATAAACAGTGTATAAATGTAGCACATACTTAAATCAAATGTGATTTCAATTTTTAAGTTAAAAATGGAGATATTTAGTAAATATTTTATTCAATGGTTATATACATATATACCAGAAAGGCATAGAATGATTAAAAAAGACTATACTTGAGTCCCACCATTATTCAAGAATTCAAGGTGACCAGGTGCTCATTACTAGCATCTATAACAATAGAAGCAAAATGACCAAAGCAATTTTCAGTGATAAGGCAAGTTTAAGAAAGGCAAAAGTGGCTAGGCGCTATGGAACACCCTATTCCAAAGTTTTGGGAGGCTGACATGAGGTCACAAATTTGAGGACAGCCTCAGCAACTTAGAGAGACCCTGTCTCAAAACAAAAACTAAAAGGACTGAGATGTAGCTTCATGGTAGAGCACCCCTGGGGTTAGTCCCCAGTACCACCAAAATAAAAGAAAGTCAAAAACAACAAAACCAATTAGGGACAAAATATACTATACCTCTTAAGCAAAAAGCTAAAATAATTTCCCTAATTTTAAATCATGCAGTAACTGATAAAAATTAAAATGTGACATCTGTTCTGTATGGAGGAAAATAAAAGTTTATGTACATGTATACATTTCTGTAACCCAACTTTAAGCAAATTATTTCTTCCTAGACATTGCAGGAAGTAAGATTATATGTTTATATATACACACAATTGACATTGTTTAACTCTCAAAGATCTTTGATGCTCACTACTAAAATGTATAATAAGAAAGAAATACATTAGATTGGTCACTATTAATATTGTATACTCTTAATAATTAACAGGAATTCTCTATATGAATTTCCAAAGAATTCATTAATAACATTCCACTATTGTCATGTATGTAAGAAATTTAAAAAAAAAATAACTTTGAAAAGTCATAACAAACATATTGTTTCTTACCTCTCCTTTTTGTGCAGAGTTTAATACAACTGGTGGTCCAATAATTCTACAGTCAGCCTTGTATAAATCATTAAAGACAGAATTCTGGAAGTCCATGAGTACGAATACATTCTCGAATTCTGGGGAATCCAAACTTTCAAATTCTTCTAATGAGTCCATCTTTATATACGGTACTTTAATTTCCTGAGTTTTTCACATGATTATTAGAAATAAAAATTATTTATATACCTTTTTAATTAATTCATGATCCTATAAGACCTAAAAATCAATTCCCTATCAATATTTTTAACATCTTTATTTTTTAGATTTTTAGAAAACTCATTTAATATCATATAATAATCAACATTACACATAGTAAAAAAAACACATTTTACTTATGTACATTTGTGTGTGTGTGTGTGTGTATCCATCTGCATTAAGATCTTAATTTAGGGGCTGGGGATGCGGCTCAAGCGGTAGTGCGCTCGCCTGGCATGCATGCGGCCCAGGTTCGATCCTCAGCACCACATACAAACAAAGATGTTGTGTCCGCCAAGAACTAAAAAATAAATATTAAAAAATTCTCTCTCTCTCTTTTAAAAAAAAAAGATCTTAATTTATAGTAATTGATTTTTAAAATCCATTATTATAAAGGCATAAACTTCTAATTACTTAGCAGTCATCATAAATCATACAGAATGAACATTAAGTTCCATAAAATTAGATTGATGAGATTTGTTTTAAGTAGATGCACTTTTATTTTTTTGGTATTAGCGATTGAACTCAGGGGCACTGAGCCACTGAGCCATCCCCAGCCTTATTTTGTGTTTTATTTAGAGACAGGGTCTCACTGAGTTGCTTAGTGCCCCTCTCATTGGCTAAGACTRGCTTTGAACTCGTGATTCTCCTGCCTCAGCCTCCAGAGCTGCTGGGATTATAGGTGTGCACCACCTCGCCCGGCTTAAGTACATGCCATGTTGATAGTAGGACAAAAAGATCTTCTCCACTATTTCTTTTATCCTGATCAAGAAAATGATTCCATAATACAGTTCTTTCTGCACAAATTAACTATCTTCAGGAAAAAGAGAGAGAGAGAGAAATGTGAGATTTGTAGGCTTTTGCAGGATGGCAAAATAGGATATAAAAAGATAGTTACAAATTGTGACTTATTGTTTATACTATTTCTATAGAATAAGAATTAAAGTATAAAAGAACTTATATAATTCCTGTTAAAAAGAACAGAACCACTTAAAAGAAAATTGTAAACTGATCAACAAATTATTTGATCTTAATGTGGAAGGATGGAATCAAGGGTTCAATCATGTATCCATGATGTTTTCATATTGATGTCTTAGATCTTTATATGTTGAAGCCTTAACCAGAATAAATAATAAAGACCTTTTCCAAATGTGTCTGCTATTTGGAAATAAGAACTTCCAAGAGGAAATTAAGGTTAAATTAGGTCATTTGGGTGGGCTCTAATCCAATCTGGTATCCTTTTAGAAGATATTTGAACACACAAAATAAACACCACAGATGCACATATACCGAAAAAAAAAAAAAAGGCTATGTGAGATGCAGCAAAAAAGAGGCCATCTACAAGCCAAGAAAGGCTTCAAGGGATACTAAATCAGGTGACACCTTGATCTTGACCTTGAACTTCTAGCCTCCAGAAATGTGAGAAAATAATTTGTTTAAGCTACTCAGGATGTTGTATTTTGTTCTGGTAGCCCTAGCCCTAGCTGAATTAGAAATTTAGATGTTTCAAATGCAGAGGTAAATTTCTTGGTGATTATCAATTAATGTGATATATAACTTGGAAATACAAGAATTTAGGCTTTGTTTTTTTCTTTTTTGGAACTAGGGATTGATTTTAGGGGGACTTTACCACTGAGCTACATCCCCAGACCTTTTTCTTTTTTATTTTAAGACATAGTCTTCCTAACTTGCTGAGGACAGCCTTGAATTTGCATTCCTCCTACCTCAGCCTCTCAAGTAGATGGGATTACAGGTATGCACCATCACACCCAGCTAAAAATAAAATTAACGAGAAAAAGGTAGAGTTTAATTTTCAGATTTTTGTACATGTTATGTCACTTAAATTTAAATTGAAGCTGGACACCTGTAATTCCATGAGATTCAGGGGGCTGAGACAAGAGGATCACAAGTTCAAGGCCAGCCTCAGCAACTCTTTGAGATCACAACTTAGCAAGACGCTGTGTCAAAATAAAAAAGGACTGGGGATGTAGCTTAGTGGTTAAGTGACCCTGGGTTCAATTCCCAGTATCAGAAAAAATACCTATATATTTAAACTTAAGTTTTTATAAACCTAGCATTATTCAAAATAGATGCTAGTTTGGGGTTTCATACACACCCAAATTTTCAGAATAAGTATAAAATAGTTTCCATTTGTCTAGCTTCAGATATATAAAATACACCTTGTGCCTAAACTCCCATCACCATAAAGTGGAATAATTTTATCAAGGGAAGTGCAACATGCCACATGCAATGAGATGTTTGACCTACCATATTAATAACACTTTTTATTAATTTTTCATCCGACTTTCCAGGACAACTTTCTTTTATCTTTAAAACTGGGACTTCCATTATTTTAATAGTCTGTGGAAAAGAGACTTAAGTGTAAGATTAAGGAAGCTATAAACTACTTATACACTGATGGAAGAAAAATTGCTGTTTAGAAATTTACTATAAATCCAAGTTCCATACCTTTAATGCTTGTATAACTTCTTCTTGTTTTCCAGCTTCTTGAACCATTACCACTCTTGTTTCAATCTGAGGCATTTCTTCTGTTAAAATTTTAATCAGGTATTAACATTACAATCAGCAATTCCTAATCCTTCTTTGGCTATATCTGGTATGTGTTCTACTTTTGAGGAGACCATAAAATTCTCTAAAATTAAAATGACTTAATTACTAATTTAGTAGAGGAATATTTGGCCTTATGGTTTCTTTGGAAAAAGAAAAAATTACCAGGCCAGGGGCACATGTCTCATGTCTACAATCCCAACTATTCAAGAGGCTGAGACAGGAAATCAAAAGTTTGAGGCCAGAGCTATGTGCAGTGGTACACACCTGTAATCCCAGTAACTAAGAAGGCTGAGGCAGGAGGATCATAAGTTCAAGGCTAGCCTCAGTAATTTATCAAGGCTCTTCCTCAAAATTTAAAAAATAATTTTTTAAAAAAATTTATAGGCTCTGTGGTGAAATAAAAATAACCTTGGGTTCAATCCTCAGTACCAAAAAAGAAAAAAAAAGTTCAAGGCCTGAGCAACCTAGTGAGAGACTCTTTCTCAAAATTAAAAATGAAAAGGAATGGCCAGGTGCAGAGGTACACAACTATAATCCCAGCAACTCAGGAGCCTGAGACAAGAAGATCATAAATTCGAAGACCCTAACAACATAGTGAGACCTTGTCTCAAAAATTAAAATATAAAATAAAAGAACTGGGGATAAAGGTGAGTGGTAAAGCACCCCTGGGTTCAATCCCCAGTACCAAAATAAATAAAGAGGGCCGGAGATATGACACAGAAGAGCATTTGTCTCACATGTGTGAGGCCCTGGATTCAATCCCCAGTACCACAAAAAAAAAAAAAAAAAGTGAGAAAAAATGTACCATAGCAGGGGATACAAACATATACCCATTCTTCTTAACCAAAGAAAGCACTCACTATCTTTCATAGCCTTCTCCTTCAATAGTTCAAAAACAGAATCAATATAAAGATGCCTCCTCCTTTTTAAAGTTAGGAAGCATTAATCTAAACGATAAGCAGAAAATCTAGTGTAAAGGGATTCTGTCATATTCATGATTCAATACCTGGGCTCTAGCACAACAGTTGCTATTACAGCTATTTCATAAGAAAATTGCTAATGAGGTTAGCATTAAAATAGCTATTCAGTGTCTTAAAACAGATAATAGATTTACCTTCAACACATGAAGTAGATTCAATAAATAAGTTTTCCTTGGAACTTTCAGTAACCTTAGAATCAAAAATGGAAGAGTCTGCCAAGCTAGTCCTCTCAGTAGTAGATGTTAATATACTAAGGTCAGCCATTGTTTGTACTATCAACTGAAAAAAACAAAATTTAAATAAAAACATGAAACAAATACGATCACTAGGCAAAAACAAGCATCAGAGGTTCTACTTTCACACCTAGAATTTATAAAAAGTATTACTATCCACTTTTCTTAATACTTACAAAAAGTAACTCTACTTTCTGAGCTTGTTTCCTCTTCTATAAAATAAGATACTAATACCTGACTAAAAGGAATACAGTAAAATATTTAAAATGTATCAAAAGCACAGAACATTACCAGACATAAGAAACACACAAAAGGTAGTCATAAATATTATTGTATCTCCCTCAATACCTCTACCCTCAATCATTTCACTTTCTATGTTTATTTATAAAACCATCATAACACTCATCACCATCGATAATCCTTGCAGAAAATGTGGGATCCATCATTACTTTCCTCTACCTCATTTTCATTCCCCAAATTCCTGTCAATCCCACCTCAAGTATATCTCACCTCTCTTCTCTATGCACAATGATACAATAGTTACTTGGTATAATACAACAACTTCAAATAACTTTATCAATCTCTTCAGAAATCATTCCTCACATGGTCTTCAGGGGTATATCACTTTCTTGTTCAACAACTTCCATAAGCACTCCTCCCTATATGACCAAGTCCAAATTCACCATCAAGTTTTCCATTTAGTTCCCTTCTACCCATTCAGACTCATCACCGATAAATGAAATTTTTCAGCACTTTTCAAACCCAAATCACAATGTACTTCACAACTATTTATATTTAATAGTGCTTAACTCTCCACATAGAGTGGCTTCCAACTGTCAACCACCACTTGACTCACCCTTTATGTATCTCTCAGAACCTCTCAGGTATATTTAGACTGATTCCTTATCAGTATTTTCATATTACTTTTCAAACTTATTCAAATGCATAGGTTAGTGTTAATATAACTCTGGACTATGAGAAAAAAAAAAAAAAAAACTTTATTTTTCTTTTTTTCTTCTTCCTTCCAGGATAAAAGAGTTAAAAAGTTGTGCAAATGAGGAAAAAAGAAAACAGTTTGGCAGGTTTTCATCAGTTCAAAATAGAGGTTTTGTATAAGTTGATTTTCTTGAAGTAAATTTTTAAAATATTAAAAAAATAAAAAAGAGGAAGTTCCACCTTCATCTGGAGATACATGTCTGATCTCCGTTACTCTTCCCYACTTCTTTAAATTAATATACAAATACCTTGCTCCAGATTCTTAGCAAGGAAATGGTTTAAACTGTATGTTTTGGGAAAATGGTAAAGTTAGCAGTGGCATCAAGTCACACTAGGTAGTGGGAAATGTGCTTAGTAATAAAAGAGCCCTGGCACAGTTGTGAGATTGTATACTTCAATGTCAGGCAATTCAGCTTCCTGTCCCAGCTCTGCAGGTTAACAATCAGTTTCAATTTGGGTCAAGCAGAGTTGGTAATACAACTGCAATCCAGTTGTGATAAAAAGTGAATAAATGATTTCTTAAAATAAGTGACAAATAATTATTAATCCTCAGTGGTAGACCACTTGGTGAGCATGGACAGGGCCTTGGGTTTGATCCCCAGTACCACAATAAATAAATAAGCACAATAGAATCAGTGTTCCTATAACCTATATTTCTCACCTGTGAACAGCATCTGGAGGAGTTTCTGACCAAATATACTATAACCCATAGGCACTTGTAAACAAATACTCACATTAGGTTTCCTTTTACTCAAATTTCTTTTTTGTTTGTTTGTTGGGGGCTTTTTGTTGTTTGTTTGTTGGGTTTTTGTTTGTTTGGTTGGTTGGTTGGTTTTGGCAATCATCTTGCAGAGTGAAGGGCCAAAACACAATACTGGATATGATGGTGGTATTATTAATAAAACTGTGATTGACAACATTTAAAGCTTTATATGCAGCATTGTACTAAACTTAAACCTTTTGCTTGATCTTATTTAAAAATTGAGACGATCCGAAGAGACAGATATTATTATTATCCCCATTTTATGAATAAATAAAGTAAAACTGCGATTCAAAGCCCAAGCTGATTTTAGAGGCTGTGCTTTTAATCACTAAACCATATACATCTGTGGCTAGGAAGAGGGGATGTTGACCATACATTTTCATGTAGAAACTAAAAATTAAACTTCCTGCAAAGACGAAGCCAAGAATCCTAAATGAAACCACTAAGTTCTCTGAGATAAGCCCCCAAAAGCTGCAGCGGCCCGCCCCAGAGCTGCAGAGTTCGCGGCTAGCCAAAATCCCTTTCCCAATTCCCTCCCTTCACCACATTCTTCCGGAAGAGATGCAACTGGGTGAGTGGTGAAGATGCCCAGCAATCTCGGGAACCAGGCTGCACTCTGCTTCACCACCGGCTGTGGGTGGGGGTGGAGGAGTTCCCAGAATCGGGAAGCCTGAGCCAGGGTGCTCCGGAATTCGCGGTCACCGGGACAGGGATGCTGACCGCAGGCAAAGGAGTCCATGGCCCCGGGGGACGAGGATCACTCTCACCTCCCTCACCCACACCACAGAGTCCTCACCACTCAAACAAAAGTCCGGTGAGATCCACCTCTTCAAGCGCTGATTCCTCTCACCGACTCCGACATTCCCTGCCGGTGGCTGCCACCTCCAATTCAAAAATACGAGCCGTTCTCTCTAAGAGCCATGCCGATTGGCGCGTGATGTCAACCTCCTTCTCATAGGCTGGAGCCTCCAAAGGTGAGGTGATTGGCCGCTCTTCAATGCCCGCCTCCCTGCAGGAGACCATTGATTGGTTGTGCGTGAGTTTCAAATAAGCCCAACGGCTTGGGCGTCGRGACGTCAGGAATTTGTACAGAAGTGCCCGGATGTGACCAGGAGGTGGCGGTGGTGRCTTCTTGTCGCCTCTGGGAGTAGCAGGTGTTTCTGTGACTACCGCTTGTTTACTCAGTAAACATTCCGTTTCCTGAGGAACAGCTAGGTAAATTTTCTCCACCATCWTCCCCAACATTTTTTAAAAAACAGAAAAAAGCGGCATCAAATCTTTTAAATTRTCGGATTTTTTAAAAAACATAAACTTGCCTTGGAACAAATTAAAAACATGCACGAGGTTCTAGAATCCTTAGAAGTAAATTGCTCCCTCCCCCACCGTGAGAATATTAGTTCCTTTAAAGTCTAGCCAAGAGTTTTATCAAGTTTTTCCCTGTGATTTCTATTGCTGTTATGAAAACARGTTTTTATATTTTCTAATTATAAGACACAATCTGCCAAGAAGAATACAAAGAAGGTGAGGTGGCGCAAGCCTGTAATCCCTGCTCCTCCAGCTTCTATGGCAGTAGGCTCTTAATTCCAGGCCAGCCTGGGCAATTTAAGGAGATGTATATATTTTCACTGATGATTTAAATAAAGAAAAACGGGGGAACTCATTACTAGAATCCTAAATCCCAATTTAAAAAAAAAAAAAACTTGCACTTTGGAACAACAACAACAACAAAAATCTCAAACAGGTTGTAAGAATTTTAACTTTTTCCTAATTTTGTCAGGCAACCTTAAGAGTGTCTGAAAAGTTTGTAATACACTGCACAAAAGGAGTGAAGCAGTCTAAGCAGTCTGTAATTGTTGATTTTCCTGCTTATCAATATTTATAGTCTGCCCTTCAATATAATGCTGTAATAACCATTAGAGCAGAAGAAAAGAAAAACAGTAATTGAAATTTCCCTTTGGAATGTAACTGCATACTTTAAACTTGGGTGTGCCCAGCATTCCAAAAATTGTCCTCACTAGAAATATATTAAGCTACTGTGGAATCAGCCTACTTCCTTTGTACATTGCTCCCTGTTAAGCAGGCTTTCCACCCAAACTAATAATTGACCAAGGGTGGTTTTACTCCAYGAATTTTATGCTAGCTAACAAAAGCTGTACTTCATTCCTCTCAAGGAATATGTGGCAGTTTGACTAGCAAATAGGCAATACAATCTTCTCTCTCTCAGGTCTTTGTTGACTCAGTAGATATTTATTAATTGCAAGACATTCTTTATGCTTGCTGAGGGTACAGAGATGAATGAGGCATAAATACCTACTTCTCAGGACCCAACAATCTGGTGAGGGATATTAACAGGTAAAAATGACTACAATGCAAGGGAAAGAAAAAAGAAAACCTAATACTGATAGTTTACTAAGCATTTTACCTTATTTAATCCTTAAAACAACCCCCTGATTAGTCATCATTAACCCATATTGGCACAATCAGGTACCTCCATGAAAAACATCTAACTGAAGGAAATGTTTGAGTAATTTCAACAAGATCACCTAGTAAATTTTATAACCTGCCTTAGATCAATGTAAACAAAGCCTGCATAGATCTGTATTCTGGTTCCCCAACAAATGGGGAGGCTGAGACAGGAAGATTGAAAGTGCAAAGCCACTCTTAGCAACTTAGCAAAACCTTCAGGAGTTTAGCAAGACTGTCTCAAAATAAAAAATAAAAAGGGCTGGGAATGTAGCTCAGTGTATTGGCCTTTGGTTCCCCAGTACCAAAAAAAAACTGTCTTCGGGCTCAATGAAAGCAATGAACAGGAAGGTAATTTAGATAATTGTGTGTTTAAAATGATTGTTTGCCACCTAATTGCACTTGATAATGAAGTAAAACAGTCCCTAATTTTTTCAGTTTTAAAAGGCTACCGCTACAAAGATAAAAGTGACACATTGCGCGCATGCTCTCGCTCGCTCTCTCTTTTTTTTTTCTCCCCTTGTTAGTACTGAAGATTTAATCCAGGGCACTTGACCACTGAGCTACAAAACCAACCCTTTTTTAGCTTATTTTGAGACAGCTCCTCTCTTAGTTGACCAGACTGATCTCAAACTTGAGATCCTCTGACGTCAGCCTCCTTTACCAGGATACATTGCTCTTAATGTGTGGCTCAATGGTAAAGGTCCCCAGTATTCAGTCCCCAGTATCCAATGAACAAAACCAAAAACCTTGAAGCAAGAAAGGTATGTAGTCTCTGTAACTTTTTAATAATAGTAATCTAACAACAG